CCCCAAAACCCCAAAACCCCAAAACCCCTTGGTACTTAAATCAATGAAATGATAATTAAGAGAAAATAATAAATTATAATAAATATTTAGATTGAAAACAAATATGAATCTCTTGCCTTTTGTCTCCAACACTTTAGTTAAAAGACTTCCTCTTCATAACCCAAGAGAGCAGACAATCAAGTACTTAATCTACTTAAACCTTGGTGTATTTGGTCTTTACACTCTTTAAAATGGACCAAGAAAGCAACAAATGCAAAGATCATTGAGAGTACAAGCTGATTCAAGTATTCAATCACTCATCAACTATCACTTCGCAAACTTATCACTTCCATGGCTCGCCTTCAACACAGGTGTTCTATACACTATCGGAAACTATCATCTTGTTAAATATGGAAGATCTCACTTCTTCAGAGTCATAGGAGCTTCCTGTCTTGGAGGTGCAGTCCTTTCGGCAGTATCAGCTTATAATGATAGAGATTTCACTGCATCAGGTGGAGTCTCAATTTCAGCAGGTCTCCTCACCTATAACATCTTCAAGAACCCACAATGGTTCAAGCTCTACTTCAGAGCTTCCCCTCTTTTAGCTTTACTAGTTTTATATGCTGGTTTTTACAATGACAGAGCTGCTCTTGGAGGTCTTGGTGGTGCCTATATCGCATTCCTTATGGGACTTTGAGAAACAAAGGCATTTAAGGATATACAAGTCAATGAGTTGGGATCAGAGATGTTGTCTCAGTGAGATAACTCTAAGTCACTCAGACTTAATATTTAATTTAACTTAATTTTCAATATTCACTCATCTATTAATCTTTAGTCATTATAAATTATAAAAATTAATTATCTATTTCATTGATAAATATGGCAGATTTAGACTTAGATGCTCTAGAAGAGCTATTGAAGGTAATATACTAAAGTTTTTATAGTAATTTATTGTAGCAAGAAGAAAAAGCTAAACTTAATTTAGAAAATGGCAAAGGTAGCTCAAGAGACAGAAGAAGCAAGTCAAGAGATAGAGATAGCAAAAGGATTAATAGATCAAGATCCAGAAAGAAGAAGTCTCATAAACATCATAGAAAAGAGAGTAGAGACAGAGATGGGCATAAGCACAAAAGAAAAAGCGGGTCAAGAAGAAGAAGTGATAGCAGAAGAACAGATTCTGAGGAAAGAAGAAATAAAGGAGAAAAAAAGAAGCCAGAAGTGGAGCCTGAAGTAGATCCCGTCAAGAAGCAAGAAGAGGCGCTATAAAAATAACTCGAAGAAGCTAGTAAGGATATTTTAATGAGCCATAAAAATTACAGAGAGACAAGCAGAAGAGTCGTAAAGAGATGATTGCACAGTCTTAGTCAACAGAATAGCCTTACATGCCAACGAGAGAGATCTGTACAATTTCTTCTCTAAAGAGAAAGGAGTCGGTAAAATCCGTGATGTAAGACTTATTAGAGATCAAAGATCGGGTAAATCAAAAGGGTATGTACATGTTTGTTCAAAGAAGTTGTGGTAAAAGTTGGCTTATGCTGACAGTCTACTCCTCCTGAATGCTTAATATATCTATCAAAATGCTCATCCAACAAATTCTTACCTCTTAACTTTATTAGGATTGCTTATGTAGAATTTTATACACCGGAGTCAGTTTTACTAGCAATGGCACTTTCTGGCACATAGTTAATGGGATAAACAATAATGATATAGGCATCTCAAGCTGAGAAAAATAGAGCAGCAGCAGCTTCAAAGTTTAAGAAAGAGCAGGATAGATTCGGTAATCCTGTGAATCCAAAGCCACAGCCTAAAAAGGTAGAGGAAGGGAATTAAGTCTATGTTGGAGGCTTGATTGACGTCTTGAATTCAGTTAGTGAGTCAGAAATTAGAACCGTAAGCTAAATCAATGTTTAATTTTTTAGTGGTTTAGTCCATTTGGAGATATCGAGAACATTGAATTACCTAAAGATCACATTACTGGCAAAAACAAAGGTCATGCAATAATAACGTTTAGAAGACACAAGCATGCTAAAGCTGCGGTTAAAGAAATGAATGGATTTGATATAAATGGAAGAAAGCTTAAGGTATCTATTGTCACTGAGCAAACAACTAAACAGATGAATCAAAGAGGAGAGTATGACCTAGAAGATGATTCGGCTAATTAATACATTCATTCAGCTTCTTCAAGAGCACTTCTGATGTAAAAACTTAGTAGGGAATCAAATAAGCAAGATACTGGCCAAGCGATTATGGCCTAAAATTTTAATAACTAGCCAGTTATTCCACAATACATCTAAGCTATGCCTTCCAATTGTCTGTTGCTTAACAATATGTTTGACTAAGACTCGATTGATCTTAAAAAGGATCCAGCCTTCTTCATTGATATTAAAGAGCAAGTTGAAGAAGTGTGTGGAGAATTAGGAAAAGTTGAAAAAGTTTGGGTTGAACAAGCAGCTGGAAACGTATGGGTGAAGTACAATAAAAATGATGTCCAGGGCGCAATGAAAGCCTAACAAACTCTAAATCAAAGATATTTTGATTCAAGATTAATCACAGCAAGTTTTGTACCAGAAAATGTATTCTATGGTAAGGTTAAGGAAAGATGAATAATAATATTAGCTAATCTTAGAATCGTTAATTAGTTTAAATCTTTAACTTATATTCAGCCTTCTCCGATTTTCTCATAATATTTTTTTTATGGGGTTTTGGGGTTTTGGGGTTTTGGGG